TATATATATATATATATTTGTTTATTTATACATATATATTATATTTTATCATCCACTAGGGTAGCAACTTTGGAGGCAATTACAGAGTGCTCTGCTTATGTTTAATGTACATTCTAATCATATGACATTACTCTGTTATTCTGGGTTTAACTATTTATTAATACTTATTTAAACGTATGTGCAGAGTTCACTTGTGAAATTGATCTGGTTGACGTTTGTTGCCACATTTCTGACTAAATGGTCCAGAAATCCATTGAAGTAAATAGGAAGCGTTGAACAGCTGGCTGCATGTAGAAGCACACTTCATTTATATTAGTAGCATTATCTGGTTATGCTTCCCTCGTAGATATATAATAATTCAATGATACATCATGCATACGTTACAATGAAATGAAGTACACACACACACACACACACACACACACACACACACAGATACAATACAGTGGTGGAGCACACGTATTCATGTGCTTATTTCTCTGTCTAAGCTGGATCTGATTGTAATGATTTTGTTGTCTTCGATAATTGGTATTTTAGATAATTGAACCCTACAGTCCTGGGCCTCCCCACCTACCGTCTCAGTCTCCCCTCTGTCTATAGCAGAGCTGATAGCGGAGCTTTCACTTTTGGATCTTCTGTCCATCTCATCGATGACCCCATGCATCTCCCCCCCTGACAAGCTGTGGAAAAGCATCTCTGGAACGTGGAAAAAACACGCGTGGGAATCTTTACAGATGCTGTGGAAGCTGGAGCCTATTTCCATAAACTGGACTCCTAAGCCATGCATTGATTGTCCACCCAGAGGCAGTTTTCTGAGGTTGTCCTTGACGAAACGATGAAACCAAAAGCCACCAGGTGACAAAAATCAAGTCAAAGTCCCGAGCTGTCCTTCCTGAGGAATGTCATGTGATGGTGATCTGAGGATTACAAGTCTAACATGAAGGACATCGCTACAGAAGATCCTCAGGTGGTCTGCGAAGCTGCAGAAGATCTCTTCTGGGTCACCGTATAGAAGGCAGCAGGATGAAAGAGCTGCAAGTGTCGAAATTAGGCATCTAGGCCCCTTTCCATCATGCCAGTGCAGCAGGGACAGGATCCAATCATCAGCAACATCCTAGATAATTTTCTCCAACGAGGAGCTAAAGTTACTATTGAGACGTGCCAAGGTTCCTCAAGCGCTGCTGTCAGACAAAAAAAGATGCAGGTTGCACGCAGAAATGAAATTGTGATTTATTTATCGCAGGATCTTGCCTAGTGGATAAACTTGGGGATGGTGTGTCCTGCTGATCATCTATGGACCGTTGTTGTGTTAAGTTTTTTGCTCCTGCAGGCAGGGCTGTGTGTGAGTAATGGTGGAGGAGGGTCTTCTGCATGGACTTGGTGTAATCCCTTAAAGTGAGAAGCTCTCTTCTTTATTCCTGCTCTGCAGTCCTCTGTGCAGTGAGTACTGCACCTTTTCTACGAGGCCTCTGACGTCAGGGCCATGCCATCTGCTGATTGGCTGTAGCCTGCCACTGGCTGCTTATTATAGAACGGTGTGTACAGGGGTGGGGGGATGGATCAGTTTTCTCCAGTAGAGGGTTATACTACTCTCTCTTTCAAAATGCCACCCCGTACCCCAATGTCACAGGAGACACAGGCAGTGCATCTTCTGGGACTGCTCTTCTCTCTTAGATTCACATTCATAAATCATCCTCTCTCCCTTAGCTTATTGCTGTTAGGGAAGCTACACTTGCTTCACTGTTTCTTTCATGTTTGTTTAGATGACATACAAACGATAGATGCGGCTGCAGATCCTGGACTTATTTGCTTGTAGCTGATTGTTTGTGTTTGCTGTTTTTCCTTTTTCTGTTTGTTTTGGGGTTGTGGTTTTTTTCGTTACAGATAGGTGTGCAGTGATCATGTTTTTGCCATAAATAACCCTTACTTTGATTCCCTGGCGGTGATCAGCTTTAAGAGTGAACAATGTGCAGCAATGATGAAGTAAAACGTGCCAGGAAAGCATGCTGCCCTCTTCAAACGGATCACTCCGTATGAACAGAAATACAACCATCTCTAAAACGAAAGCATCCTGGCAATGTGAATTTATTTTAACATCCGGAAAAAAAGGAGGGGAGTGATGCTACAGGGTTAACCCCTTACAACCCCGGAGGTTGAATACAATGTAGATGCGTGGCAAGGCATGTGTTAACTCAATCAGAAAAAAAGGTTTTGGTTTGGGAGGTGAAATATTTAATCAGTAAACTACATTATTCAATTTAGCTGAATCAGGTCAAAGTACAGAAAAGGGAACCCCTGTTCTCCATGCCTGAATCAGGACAAAGTGCAGAAAAGGGAACCCCTGTTCTCCACTCCATGATGCACCTGGAGTGGGGTCCTGCAATATTTAGACATGATATGACAATATGAAATGTCAATCAAAGTGTAACAGTCCTTTGCTATGTTATGTTACCAGTTGTCAGGGAATAATCTGCTCAGTGCTCACCCAAATAAAATAAAAAAAAGATATAAAAATAAATATAATA